TGACTTCTTTCCGTGAGACTGGATCCTCACGTCCCTCGCGACGCAACTCAACGTCGCTCCTCTAAAACAAGTACGTACCTCTATTTTCCACATGAGCCCTGGAGAGCATTTAGTTATACCGTGAACAGGGCTCATGTGGAAATCCAAACACGCCTTCCCTTCGGAGGGACGACGACTGGTGCGGGGGAGGCCAGCTACCGTCATTCTCAGCAAAAACCGCGTAACTCCCCTACACGAACCCTGCGTAGATACGCGTTTCTGTGGCAGGTGACCCGACCGCGTTGGAATCTCGGTTGAGTGAGAATCGGGAATTAACAGCTGGGTTCTCCTCCTCGTTGAGGAGCAGTAAAAATTCGATTAGCCCGGCGACGCGCGACGTGGCTCCCGACGCAACGTGAGCGTGAGCTCTTCATCTTTGAGTCGCGTCTCATTCTGGCCCCCCCCCCCCCCCCCNCTTCCCCGCCCTCGCGTCCACGGCGAGAGCTGACAAAAACCGCGCCACTATTTAAATCTTAATTTAGGACCGCTCGCCGCAGCCGCCGCCGCCGACGACGACGAAAGATTGCCACGTTGGGCGATAAAATGACTGTTTTAAATTAGTTTAAATACGGGGAATTGCTTATTTTTAGCAATGTCTGGCAACGACGCTACGACGCGACGTGGTGGGAAGATTCGCGCCGAGCTTGGTCGCAACGTGGATTGAAACAAAATGCGGATGGAACAAGTGGCGCCTTGCTGTGGGAATGTGTGGTTCAGAGTTTTATTTTTGATGGACTGACGATAACGAGTATTTTTACGGCCTTGGATGAAGAACCAGCCGGTTGATTATTGAGATCGATAGACAAGGCGGTTGACGAAGAAGACAACGGGAAAATTAGATGATCCTATTTGGTGGGAGCGGGTGGTTGAAATGGACAAAGTAAGTAAGTAATAGGCTAACGGCAACCCGAGCAAAGACCTAATAGTTAGTCTATCATTTTTACCACTACTCTGTAACAACCACTCTTTTCAAGAAATAACTCCCTACATTTTTCCTCTCTCTTCTTTTCTCTATCACTTTGTCTAGCATTCAGCCCGCATGTAGCAGGAGCAGAGGCAAGGGGAGGTTTAGGGTCCTGCCTCACTGGATTTTGAACTGAGCAGAGGTCTGTGTACATTTCTGATTGCACTTTTTTAATTCCTGCTCGAAATAAAAAATGTTTGGATGGGCAATCGAAAATATTTTCCAATAATGTCCATGAGTTGATTTGCGGTGACTTTCGGCTTTGGAGTAGTGATATTATCCCTGGGGACTCCATGCGAGAAGGAGTTGTTTAAAGGTAGAAAACGCACGCGGCCTCACTGCCGTGATAGCGAAGAGAGCTGTAAGTGCGAAAAGGAAGTTTTGAGAAAACGGGCTCAGAAGCTTCTGACCGGAAAATTGTATTGAAAGAAGCCTCCGTTCTTTGTCAAATTGCCACTAATCATCCAAAAGACTCCTAGAAATCTTTTGGACGATTAAAAATCGGCCGACTTTGTTCCAATTACATAAAACGTGTATTATTCATTTTCATGTTAGACTATTGTTAGGCAACACAGCTGTAAGTTCTATCTTATGCATGCTCTCATGGTTGCGTTTTGGACGCACAACAAACCCATTTTCAAGTTAGAAAATGGCAAAAATTTTCTTCGTTGGCTCTCTGGAGGAAGAATGCTACTTACTGCTGTCCTGTCTGAAATTAAGTCATTTTCTGCACACTTAGGGCGTTCTCATATGTCTCGTTTTTATGTAGTTAGGAAGAGTTTTGCTGTTTTTGCTATTTCCGTAATTTCATCTGACGGAGATAAGACGAATTTTGAAGGAAACTCGATTTCGAAAATCTGAGACTTACTGCTCTCTTCGCTACCACGACAGTTCAAGCCGTGCGTTGCGCGCCACAGTGCGGTCAAGTGGGTGATGTCCAGGGTCCGGGAAGTGGAGCGTAGGGGTTGGGGGTTGGGGGGTGGCATGCATTAGGGATTTCCACTTAACGCAGCTGCTTCCGTGTGTCAGGGTTGAGTGGGAGGGAAGCGCGGCGGGTGCGGGATCTGAAGCTGTCCGCACGGCGCACGGCCTCGTCCGCTCCGTGGCTCCGTGCATGAAATGAGAGGCTAACCGCGGATGCGGCGGCACTAGACGCAGATTGCCACTCAAATCAGCGCCTCCAGACACTCCAGCTGCCGCGCTGCCACTGGAATTAGAGTCCCCTTTCATCCCGATTCCTAGATTGCCCTCTTTGTCGTGGATTTCGCGACGCTTACGAGGCATGCACTTCTTCCCTGCCTTGCCGAGGAAAAACGACGTATGAACCTTCAGACGTTGCCAAATTTGATAAAACATGGATTTTTGACAACATTCGTGAATACTTTTCCCTGAAATTTTCAGATATTTTAGATTACATTGCGTACAAAATTGCCTGAAAACTTTGGAGAAAAATATTCACAATTTTCCCAGTAAATTCGGTTTTTATCGAAGGAATTTTGGCAACGTCTGAAGGCTCATACGGCGTTCTTCCTTAGCACGGCAGTACGAGGAATGTACTTCTTCTCTGCCGTCCTGAGGAAAAACGCCGTATGAACCTTCAGACGTTGCCAAATTCTCTTCGATACAACACGAATGGAGATGTTGCATATGTGAGGAATTTGCGATTTGACTGTTGATTCTTCTGTAAAAGTTCGCGAGAAACACGACGGTGCCGCTTGCTTTCTCTAAAATCAACTCCCAAGCTCAAAAAAAGCCCTCAAGTTGAGGCCAAAATGGAGGGAATATCCCACGCTGTCCTGAGAGTCCACCTCTACATCAAGACAACTGTCCGTGCAAAGATGGGGAGCAAATACATTAGCAGTGATGCCGTGCTTTCAGTTTTGGAGTCCCCAAATAAAGTGGAAGCCCTGTCAAGGTATTTGCTCCCTATCTTTGCATGGAGAGTTTGTCTTGATATAGAGGTGGACTCTCAGGATAGCGTAAGATATCCCCTCCATTTTGGCCTCAACTTGAGAGCTTTTTTTGAGCTTGGGAGTTGATTTCAGAGAAAACCAGAGGCAGCATGGTGTTTCTCGCGAACTTTTACGTAAGAATCAACAGTCAAATCGCAAATTCCTCACACATGCAACATCTCCATTTCTTGGTAAACTTAGGAATATTTTTCTTCCAATTTTCTAGATAATACATTTTAATGCACAAATTTGGCTGGCTAAGCTTCATAGAACATGGTAAAATAATTGAAAAAATAATCGAGCTACAAGCAAAAAAGAAATTAAACAAATAGTATTTCAAACTACGTAGAGATGAGATATAATATAAAACTTACAGGAGGCAAAACAAAAGTTTCGACCGCCAGCAAACTGCGGTTTCCTTCAGTGCAACAAGTGGAGACATTTTACAAAAAAAATTTTAAAAAATATATATGTACGAAATGTTTGTTTTCTTTCCTGTAAGTTTTTTTTATTATGTCTCATCTCTATGTAGTTTAAAATATTATTTGTTTAATTTATTTTTGGCTTGTAGCTCGATAATTTTTTCAATCATTTTACCATTTTCTCGATAATTGTGTTCGCAACTTCACCTGAAGTTCCTGGAAATTTCAAAGAAAACCATTCATATTTTACCTCAAAAATAAACATTTTACCGAGGAAAATTTGGCAACTCTCGACTGTTCATACGACGTTTTGCCTTAGCACGGCGTTCCTCGCCGCTTTCGTATCTCACCTCCTCCCGTCCAAATGAACCGTCCGTAAAAAAAAAAAGTCGTCTGAAAGTCTATTCTTGAATCGTTTTGATGATAGAACGGATGAACAAGACACACACGATACAGGGTAATTCAAAATTCCCGCGCCACCCACGCGGGGACAATATGCAAAAAAGGAGGAAAGTATAAGTGGAAAAGGAGCTATCCTGTAGTCGGTTGACTAACTATAGGGTCTCTCGTGGGTTGACGACTTGCCTCCTTTATCCATTACAACTACTCAATTCCACTGACAGTATCGCCCCATTTTCCCCTTGTCTTCTTTATCTATAGCTTTGTCTATCGATTGCAATAATCAGCCCGTTAATGTCATAAATCTTACGTGTACGTTTAATCTTAATGGAAATGTCACTATATAATCCAGAAACGCTGTGACAGAAGTTATTTAGAAGTGGTGGATCTCATGATTGCTTCACTTTCAGCTTTATAGATCAGTAATTCCACAATTTCCATCGGTTTTTCAAAGCATATCCACATAATTTATCATGCTGAGGTGAAAAAAACCATGGGTTGTATTGCTGAGGTGAATGACCACTCAATCCTTAATTGACCATCAATGTCGCCACTTAATTTGTCTGCATTTGGCAATAGAGGCTTTATGAAAACCTGAACCTCGAGGATTAGTCAAAATGAGACATTGCTTTTCTACGGTAAAACATTAAAATGGCCTCCTGTGGTGTAGTGGTTATAGCGCTGGCCCTATAACCAAGAGGTCTCAGGTATGATTCCCGGCCAGGTGACCTGAGTTTGATGGTCTCAGACAGTGGTCACCTGGGGCTGGTGGTACGCGTGGGATTAGCCAATAGGGGCTGCAGGGTGGCATGAAAAGTAAAAAAGAAATAAAATATTGAAAATTTCGGTGAAACATTTCATTAAATTTCAAGAGGCTGAGAAATATTTTATACTTTTCAGGGCTAGAGTATGCAACCCTCACTCAAACACACAAAAATAGAAGAAAGTCACAATTTTTACATTTCACGAAACATGAAAAGGAACCGGTATTTTTCAATACCTTTCATAAATTTCTGAAATTTCATGAAATATTTCACGTGAAATTTCAAGATTATATGTTTCATGAAATTTTGCCACCCTGTTTGAAGATAGTAAAAAAATAAATAAAAAAAAAAATAAAATTAAAAAAATGTTACAGTTTTTCTATATAGGGGTTCTAGGTTTGACCCGCGTGTCCACTGTTTTGAGAAGATGATGAATGAAAATGAAATTGAGAAAATGTACCTCAGGACAGCTCCAAGTGACAAAAGAGACGTTGTGTAGTTCCGTGAAAGACCGCGCGAGACCACAAAGTGGGGAATCCAGGGAGCCGACTATGACCCTAGTTTTAGGGTCCTTGACTGCGTTCAAAAAAGCGGCAGCCCTGCTCGATGTCGAGTTGCACATTTCTGAAACAAAGAAGAGGAAGAATAAAGTTAAAACGCACAATATATAAAAGAAAAAATGAAAGTGCTTTGGAAAACATTAAATTTGACACGGAACCACCTTGATATTTACAAAACACACATTATGTTTTCCTTTGATACATTTTTTTTTTCTTCGTCGATTTAAATGAGAATAATCCATGAAGCGTGAGCAAAAATGTCAAAATCAAGAGTTGAAAAACGCTAACTCCGTGGGTTTAAAGATAAAAGCCTAACGCCACAGCCGCGCGGCATGCTGTCACAGCGGAAAGCACACTGGCGCCTACAAACCTAAGGGGATACTTCACGCATTGCGCAATGCTTGAAGTATCCCCTTAGGTTTGTAGGCGCTAATGCGCTGGCCGGGCCGGCCGTCCACCGCGCCGCAGCGTACCACGGCGCCTCAAGCAACTATTTCACAACAGAGGTGTTTGCACAGTACCATACGAAGTTGAAGGCGCTCCAACATATTAAGAATGACGCAGGCATTCTTTACGAGCATGGAGCTTTCCTTGGAGAATAAATCAAAATACTACGGCACAAGAAGAGAGCGGTAGTCCAAAGACTCACTAATTCCTAGCATCCGTATTTAATAACGTTTGGCATATTTTTGAATTGCATTAGATAAAAAAGTGACTCGATTTAAGTAGAGGCATTCTTGAGTATGCCGTCAAGATGATTTTATTTTGAATCAAGAATAAAATAGCTGAGATTTCTGCGTGACTTTTCTTTTTATGTAAGCATATTTTCTCCTTTAAACAAGCATTATTCTCTTTATTCAATCATAAGAAAATCTTCTCGGCAGTAGATTTGAGGGTATTTCTGCTTGAGTCAAGTCACTTTTCCCTCTAATGAAGTTTAAAAATCATCCTATATTTTATTGAATACGGATACTAGGACTTAGTAAGTTTTTCGACTACCGCTCTCTTTTCCTTTTTCTTTCTCCTTTCATTCAATTTTTTGCACTTGTCTTTCTTGATCTCTGCTCCAGGTGTTAATATACCAATTTTGTTAAAGCACCCAAGAATAAATGTATGAAATAACAACATTATTTTCATTCTTCACGCAAAAAATTGAATGTTGCTTTATCATTCATCATGTTAAAAAAATACGCGATAAGTACCCTTGTAACATTTGCTTCTTGGGTAATTTACCGTGACGAGCCGTCTTCTTGGGCCAAGAATCCGGAGTTATACTTGAACCATTCTTCAGGGTTTCTCCAAGCAGAGCTTCTTCAATCCTCCTTGACGCGTGCTGGAAGCATTCTGGGGCCAACAATAGATTTGAACAACTGAGTGAAACGCGTACCTGCTCAAAAGCAGGTAGAAAATGATCGTGCCCCTTAAANGGTATAGCTGCTGATTTTACAATAAAACAGAAAGTACTAGGTAAACTACGTTCACGGTTACATGAACAAATTCAATGTTGTGTTGGCATTTTTTTTTAAATGTAAAATCAACATTTGGATGTATTTCTGTCAAACGGAACTATGTGCAATAAGACATGAGCCCTGAGACCCATGAGAATATATGCAAAACTAAACTACGTTCACGGTTACATGAACAAATTCAATGTTGTGTTAGCATTTTTTTTAATGTAAAATCAACATTTGGATGTATTTCTGTCAAACGGAACTATGTGCATTAAGACATGCGCCCTGAGACCCAAAAGAATATATGCATAACAGGGCTTACGTTATAATGCACATACTTCCGTTCGGTAGAAATCCGTCCATTTGATACTTGTCACACATTTTTTTAACGGTATACACGCTGAATCAACATTCAATTCACTCCCGTGTTTCTCCTTCTCTTGTGCTCATTATTTCACCCCAAGGAGGAGAATCGGGCGCGAGCAAATGGCGGACGAGACTGGGATCGTATGTGCAGCGCCGCGGGTGCCGAGATGAATGACCTGGCGAGAAAAATCAGGGAAATTTGAATAAAACAGTGATACATCATCTCCGGCTTCCGTGAAATTGGAGGGACTCTGCCGACTCCGGTCCCCATTGTGCAAGCGCGGATACTGGAAAACGCGTCTGGGTGTCGTCTCCGACTACCGTCATAAATACGCCCGTCCCCGGCGAAAACACCCTATGAACATTCTCATGTTGCCGCTTTCACCCGATGAGAAACTTTTAATTTCTCGAAAACTTCCCTTCAAATGGAGATGTTGCATGTGTGAGGGATTTGCGATTTGACCATTGATTCTTATGTAAAAGTTTGCGAGAAACACGATGGTGCCACTGGTTTTCTCTGAAATCAACTCCCAAGCTCAAAAGAAGCTCTCAAGTTGAGGCCAAAATGGAGGGGATATCTCACCCTACCCTGAGAGTCCACCTCTACATCAAGACAAACTCTCCATGCAAAGATAGGGAGCAAATACATTGGCAGGGTTGCCGTGTTTTCAGTTTTAGAGTCCCCAGTTTAGGGTGGGATATCCCCTCCATTTTGGCCTCACTTTGAGAGCTTTTTTTGAGCTTGGGAGATAATTTCAGAGAAAACCAGGGGCAGCATCGTGTTTCTCGCGAACTTTTACATAAGAATCAACAGTCAAATCGCAAATCCCTCACACATGCAACATCTCCATTTTTCGGAAAATTTTACACGCAATCATGCGTGTCACAAACGGGAATAAAGATTACACAAATGGAACATTCTTCGTGATATTTGATTAACTCATTCCCGAATAGAGAATTTGCAGGTGTCTAAAATTTGATGAATTTCGTATTTAGGTGGAAACTACTGAGTGAACTGAACACGAGGATACCCTTGGTTCATGAATTGAACTATTATTGGAGAAGATATGGCACATTGATCTAATCTGCTAAATTACTTGTGTTTAAATGGGAAATACCGCCAGATGACGTTACTAGGCGGTGAATTTTCTCACTTTTAAATCTATTTTTATTCTATTTCAGAAAAAAATTATAAAAACTGCAAAAAAAATTGCAACAGGCCCTTTCGATATATCGTCAAAGTAAGTGTGGCAACATTCGGCGGAGCATACGGTCTTTTTCCGCAGCGCTGCAGAGTGAGTGGAAGCTGCTCACACGGCGAGGTGGAAAAATAAGGCAGTTTAAAATTGCGCACTGTTGTTAAGCACTTCCCCGGTTCCGGAGCATGCTGAACCTCCTCCCCTTGCCTACCCTCAGGGAAGGGCGGCATGTTAACGCCACGTGCTCCATCCAGACTCCATTCCATCGCCGCAAGTCCTCCGCTCTTACCCTTGCATTCTTTGGCAGTGCTGCCGTTCAAAGGAAAAAAGCTGCATGAAGACGTATGAGGGGGCATTGCCAGACTCCCCTGGAAAAATATTTATCCTTTCGAAGAGAAAGGGTTTTCCCTAAAATTTACCCTCGTAGCAACAAGATTTCTACGAAAATTTAATTTTGGATTTTCCTGGTATTTCCCTGATTTATCCTGATATTTTCAACGAGATTTCCTGATTTTTCGCGGGAATAAATTGCACGGAAAAAATTAAATTGCTGATTTAAGAATTGAATAGCTAAAAGAAAAGTGACTGCAGTATTTCAACGTAGATTTCACGACAAAAAATGCTCTTTTAACCACGATTGTAAGCTAATTTAACCACGGGGGTGGTTGAAGTAGCATTTTTGTTGTATTTACATTGAAACATTGCAGTCATTTTTTTCAGAAATTGAATTGTTAAATCAGCAATTTAATTTTTTTCGTCCGTATGAAGACGTATGAAGGCGCACTGCCAGACCCTCCTGGAAAAATATTTATCCTTTTGAAGAGATAGGATTTTTTCTAAAATTTACCCTTGTAGCAACAAAATATCTACTAAAATTTAATTTTGGATTTTCCTGGTATTTTTCTGATATTTTCAACGAGCTTTCCTGATTTTTCGCCGGAATAAATCAATACTAGTTTAATTGAATGAACAAAAATGTCAACAAAAATGAATTGAATCCCATATTTTAAAAGCGCTTGAAGCACAGTAAACGCACAATATATAAAAGAAAGAATAAAAGTGCTTTAAGAAACATAAAATTTGACACAGAACCACCTTAACATTTACAAAACACACATTATGTTTTCCTTTGATACATTTTTTTTTTCATCGATTTAAAAGAGAATAATCCATGAAACGTGAGCAAAAATGTCAAAATCAAGAGTTGAAAAACGCTGACTCCGTGGGTTTAAAGATGAAAGCGAGAGCTGCGCGGCGTGCTGCCAAAGCGACAAGCACACTGGCGCCTACAAACCTAAGGGGATACTTCACGCATTCCGCAATGCTTGAAGTATCCCGTTAGGTTTGTAGGCGCCAATGCGCTGTCCGGGCCGGCCGTCCGCCGCGCAACAGCGTGCCACGGCGCCTCAAGCAACTATTTCACAACAGAGGTGTTGCACAGTATCATACAAAGTTGAAGGCGCTCCAATATATAAGGAATGACGCAGGCATCCTTTAAGAGCATGGAGCTTTCCTTGGAGAATAAATCAAGATACTACGGCACAAAAAGAGAGCGGTCGTCCAAAGACTCACTAATTCCTGGCATCTGTATTTAATAACGTTTAGCATATTTTAGAATTGCATTAGAGAAAAAGTGACTCGATTTAAGGAGAAAAATTCTTGAGTATGCCGTCAAGATTATTTTATTTTGAACCAAGAATAAAATAGCTGAGGTTTCTGCTTGACCTAAAATTTTAAGTGTTAAAAAACACGAGTGAATCCAGAAAAAGTTTTCGAATACTTTTCTATTTGGGTTTCATCACTTGTAAATATTACTAATAAATATGCACAAAGAGTTTCTCAGGAAATGACATTTAACAATTTTTTTTTTTTTTGAGTTTTGTCTTTTCCAAATTTGCGAGTTTCCAACATTTTTTTATCAACTTTTATTTTTACAGGGAATACTTTTGATTAGACTTATTATTAAAATATTCATGAATTATTCGTTTAAATAAGAAAAAAAATATTTTTTTTTTTTCAACCAAAACTTAGCATCTTTTGCAACTCAG